AAAAAAAAAAAAAAAAAGAAAGGAAAAAGAAAAGGAAGAAAGAAATAAAAAATAAAAACAAAATAGCTAGGATCGCAGGAACTAGGGAAAGTTGGCGGGATGCTTACCCGAGTATTGTCGTCGGTGGTATGACGGTAGTGGCAGGTGCAATGGCTGGAGCCGGCGCTGGGAAAACTGGTGGACCAGGTGGTGGCCGCCCTCCTCCCGCGGGACTGAAAATCCGATAATTAATCCGTAAATAAAGCGAATAATTAAACATTACAGCGAATTACAATGATCGTAATTAAACGAAAAAGGAAAAAATCGTTATAATTCCGAAATGTAAACCGGATCGAGTGAATAATTATACGATTCAACACACAGTTGTCGGAGTTATATATACATATATATATAGTAATAGCTCGCGAAAATATTCCGACGTTTCGTTGGAAACAAACTTCCGTGTGTATTGTGTGAAACACTCTGAAATTATTCGGATAAGCAATGAGATCCGATTACTGTAATTACATTTATAACGCTTTTATAAGTTTGAGAACGTGTGAGGTTAATTTTCATTGATATATAAATGTGTTTTTGCATTGGGAGAATTGAAGGATGGCCTTCTACGTTCCCTGCAATTAACTGCATTTTGATATAAATCGGTCTTGCATGTCTCGCAAATGTCTACGTACACATTATCAGAGTGGCTTGAAACTTTATCGGTATGATCAGTATCAAAAAAAGCAAACCAAAGAATTATTATCGAAATCAGCATCAATCGAAATCCAGTTTCTTCCTCTCTGATGATCGATCGAGAATCTCTTCGATCAGTTTCTGGCAATTAATCGCGGCCGATCTATATTTCTCTAGCGAAATCTGCGAGTAAAATAAAAGATTTCGTGGCAAGGCGCACTAACGAGCAAGAGAAACAGGACAGGGAGTCGAAGTTTAAATCCGGGTGGACCGCTTGTTACACGTTTGTTTGCCCACGGAAACACGGCCGAAAAAGTAACGGGGCCGCGGATTAATCGCGTCCGATCGACTTCCAATTAAATCGTTTTAATGAATTTCCCGGCTTTCGCGTGTCGCGGCCAAACCGCCAAACTAAAACAGACCAGCGGTGCGGTTCGGCGAGTTTTATAGCACCGGCGAGAGAGAAACCATTTCGATCTGCATTTGGGTAACAGCGCGTGAAGAAAAATGTTGCGCCGAATTTTCCGAAGATTATTCATTCGAAATCGCGGCTCGCGAGCCAATTGAAACGAAATGAATCGGAAGACGAGGCGACGAATTTATATACGCGTGGCAGAGAAATGGCAAATAACAACTAAGTGTTTATATAATATGACAAAATATTGTGGTAAATGACATCTTAGAGAATTCTTCGTAGAAAGGACATACTTAATATTATCGTTGAATCTCAATATTCTATTATGCTAATTCTAAATTATCAATCTTATCACTCTGTATCGTCAAATCTAACATTCTTCTAAGCAACAAGATCTATGATATTAAATGTATTTCGAGATCTAATAGCTTTTCTCTATTAGGATAGAGAAAATGGACAATTTCAATATCTCCACTGATTCTAATTATTTATCTTATCACATATAATATTTTCTTTTTTTTAAATTCCAATTACTCCACTCCTACAAACATAACACAGTTGGAATATTGATGATTTCTCTACAAGGAAGCACAATCAACTCCACTAATTCTAATTATTTATCTTCTCATAATTCCATCTTGTCAAATCTGACAACATAATATTCTTATATTCTGGTCTACTATATCCCTAAAGGAAAAATTCCAATTACTCTGCCGATTACTCTACAAACATGCCCAACTGGTGCATTAATTTCTCTATAAGCTCAGTCAATGATTATCTGTATCTGTACTCTATTTTCACAGTATTTGCTACGAAAATTCAAATATAATTATTCACTTCGTCTCGGAATTTACGAAGCAAGTAAAAATGGATCCTTACTGTAGTGGTTGTTGATGGCGATTAGTGGGCGGTGGCGCAGCTTGAGCTGTGGAGGTCGCGGGCGAGTTAGCGCTGCTGATACGGTGAACGTGCAACTGGTGCATCTGTAACTGGCCTGCGTCTTCGCCGAGGAACGAGCACCTTGAGCATTGTCGTCTGTTGTGCACCTTGAGCACGTGAGTGGCTAGACGCTCGGCACGCGCTGCTTTGTATTCGCAAAGAGTGCACGCAAACGGTTTCAGATGTGTGTTCAGGTGACGCTTCAGGCACCAGTTGTCCACTCCGCTCCAGGAACAGTAGCAACAAGTGTACCTGAAAAAAATTAGGCGAATGTTTAGTTAGACTGTTGATTGGAATTAGAGGGGAAACTCTTCAAACGAATCTGCGAGAAAGATCAATCTTTAACTCTGATTCTAAAGGAGCATTTCTTCTCAATTGTTAGAAAGAACAATGAATACAGATCAACAAGTAATCATATCTGTTGTTGATAAGAATTCTTAATTTTGTTCAATTTTCAATTGTTCGCGCAACACTGAATCAATAAGTAATTGTATGAATAATATCTTATAATAATAACTTATCAACAAGTGGCAAGAATATTTAATTACGCTTCTAAAAGAGCATTTTCCAATTATTGTTGAGAACAGTGAATCTGGTAGAGCGAGCAATTATAATCATTATTCATGAGAACATTTAACTACAATTCTAAGAGAGCATTTTTCAATTATTGATGAGAACAGTGAATCTGGTGTCAATAAGTAATTGTAATCGTTATTAACTTCATTTCTAAAAAGATATTTATCAATTATTAATAAGAACAGCGAATCTGGTAGATCAATAAATAATTATCATCATTGTAAGAATCTTCACCTCCATTTCTGAAAGAGAATTCCTTAGTTACTGACAAAAACAACGATCGAATCTTAGACCTACAAGTCCATAAAATCAGACAATTTTCTGTCTCACTTTTGAAAAGTAGAAAATTTTTCACCAACAAAACTCTCGAGTCTGTTTATCTATTTTTTCTCTCAGAAAACGTATAATTTTGCTCTCACACACTGCACAATCCTCACCTCCGTTCCTGATTACTTTTAGAGCCACCCTTAAGATGACTCTTGCTATTGCAGCCACCATTCTGCATCCTTCTTCCCGTACTACTGCAGGTCGCTCCGTCTGGTTGCATAATTCCAGGTGCAGGCATCGACGTCCCCTGATATATACCTGCTGTGTTGCTGGTCGTGTTGTTACTAGGATTCGGCTGCAATTGATAATTCTTATTGTTGAAACCTGACGCGTAACTGGTATGTTGTTGTTGCTGCTGCTGCTGCTGCTGCTGCTGCTGCTGCTGCTGTTGCTGTTGCTGTTGCTGTTGTTGTCCACTCTGTGTGTTCGCGTTTCCAGCGTTCGATGTTCCTGGCTCTTGTTGAAGAGGTTCTCTTGTTCTCGTTGAACTTGATCCGGCTGGCCTGCGTATCCTCGATAACTCGTAACCATGCTCGCGATGCATTCGCAGGAAGTGTTTCTTTACGTGATCGGCACGATTGAACGGTTTGTAACAGATGTAGCAATGAAACGGCTTTTCCTCGCGATGGATGTTCTCATGTCGGGTGTACAAGTCGCGACGATCCGTTCCGTATGGGCAGTAAGGGCAGGTATATCGTTTCACACTGGGCGGCACCGACGACATCGTCGTGGTATTCTGCGAAAAGAAAGAAGTGCCATTTATTATATGGAGTAGTCGGGAAATTAAAATCTATCGAAATAATATTTATTATATTATATTAATTTTATTACTATATTATAATTAATATTTATTATATTAATATTTATTATATTATATTTATATTTATTATTAATATCACATAATATATAATTACTAGTATAATTATATTTATTATTTAATTATGTAAATGTTATTATTTAATTATAATTATATGTAATAAATGTTTATTACTTGATTATAATTATATCAGTACAATATAATAAATAACATGAATAAATGAAGAGCATACCTGGTGTAAATGTTGCTGTGCAGGGGCAGATGGTAGTTCTTGAAGTAAAAAAGTAGAAGTAACTGGCAATAAAGCTGCTGGCACAGTCTGCGTTTCCTGGGTCCGTCTCGATGGTGGAGCTACGCGCTCCACCCGCTCGCGTAACCTCTCCAAGTATGAAATCACGTCTTCCACCTTCAACTCTGATTGCAAATAGTCACGTGGTGGCGAGTGATGTCTGTTCCTATCGTCTGCAAGTATTCTGGACGAATGAAGCTCCATGAAATGTTCGGCGACATCGCGTGGCCCACCCCCCATCACGTCCCCTGTCGAAGCAATGCTATTTGTTAGTACAACTTACCTAGGATACCTGGGTGCAGGGTTACAGCCAATCCATGGTTTACGGTACGTTTTGGCAATTTATCAACGTCTTACTCTTCATTCATAATTAATGTCCCTTCTTTCTTTTTCAACCTGACAACATAGCAGTTTCTCCCCAGCCGATATCTGTTATAGTTCCGTTTGTATCAAGTTTAAATTGTATTCTTATTAAACTGCCAGTATCATTTCGAAATTTATTCTCGCTTGGCTTTTCTTTCTCAACCAGTTCAGTAAATCAGGAGAACTTCGTTATTTTTCAAAAAAACACTCGTTTCAATTTACAAGATTAGGAATAGAGCTACACGTATCTTTCGATGTGTATTGTCAAACATCGCGAAATGTCGAGCTCGAACAAACACTAACCGACTAATGATTGATATTAACGTCGAACCTTTCGTGAGGTCAGGAAAGGAAGTACCTTTGTGTTATTGGCAAGGACAAACTCGATAACAGAGACGGAAATTGCGAGGGAAATACAGCGGATAATAAAAGTTTTTGTATTCGAGAAGGAGCTAAGAAGCTTAACTGCGTTTCATTGTTTGTTTACCTCCCGAATTCCATACAAATTTTGCCGATAATGCCCTCGCTAATTGCCGGCACTTGTTAATTTTACCATTTACGATTTGACGACTTACGTTTTTTGGCGAAAAGTTGAAATGAACATTAGGTGGAATAAATATTGACTAGCAATTCCCTCTGTTATTTTGCTGAACAGTCTCTTTACAGAAGAAAATTCTTAACGTCCGAATAATTTCGTGTTGGCATCAGTTTGTTTAAAAATAGAAATTTCTACTTCTCGTGAATTTTTTTTAAATTTTTTAAATGACTAATAGATTTGCAACTTCTAAGTTATCAAGATCGCCAAAATGATAAAACTAGACTTGTTACTATTCTCGCCGATGTTCTTCGAATTTCACATATATATATATACAGGATATTTCGTAACTTGTGAGACCCACTTCGGCAGCTGATTTTACGCTTAAAAATAATGAAAAAAAGTCATATAAATATATGTCCCATCTGTCTTCGTTTATGAGATATAATGAATTTTATAAACAAACTCTCTGTCTGGCCTCTTTTTCCATAGACCGCAATAATTCGTAAGCAAGAATTCGCACTGTTTACAAATAATACTTATTTGATATCTTTCGTTTTTTGTACTTGATTACTGCAAATGTGTGAACGCGAAGAGAGTTTTGTATCTACCATACTTTTCACTGATAAAGCTAGTTTTACCAGGGATGGTATATTCAATTTTCATAATAATCATAATTGGGATGAAGAGAACCCACATGTTATTGTGCATTCAAGACATCAACACCAGTTTAGTT